GAAAATGCTTCATCTGGTTTCTAAAGTTGTCAATGAAAAATTCGCTCCTTTATATTAACTATACTGAAAATGTAGACAAATAAAGTCAAAAATACTCAATGAAAATGTAAATATATACCCATTATTTACCCTCAGCAATGTTTTTAGCGCAAGTGCTAGTGGGGCCGAACAAAAAACTGAAACAAATAATTAATATTGAACTTAGCATTGTAAAAAAAAACAAAGTCAAAATACCCAAGTTTTAGTAAACATCTTAGCTTGGCAAAAGTCAAAGGCTTGAAGTAGGGTTTGTATCGTTCCGAATGATGTTCACACAGCCGGACCTTTAACAAAAGGAACTTGCATTAAACTCGACGAAAGTTTTGCTGCTAAAATGAAACTGTCCTCATCGTGTTATGTACTCATAGCTGTGCGTACATAGGGATTTCTAACATGGTAGCTCAATAAGAGTTAGGTAGGACCAGTGTGTGCACTTTGTTACAAAAACATATCATTTATGCCATGTGAATTTATATTACAATCTTACACATATTTCATGAATTTTGTTTTCATTACTTATAGTACTGTATGTACAGTACTGTATTTGTGTTTCAAGTGTCATACAGAATTGAACAGAGGCAGGTATAATAATTTGGTCAAGTCTCATATAATGTACACGTAAATCATTAAAGCTACTTTTATTCTTAAAGTACATTGTAAAGTTCATATCACACAGTAGGTTAAAGCTAACGGATCAACGACTTGATTTTTGGACTATGTGACTTTAAAAAGTGTAATTGAATTGTAATATGTTAACTAATGCATTATTTGCTGCACACATTCCGAAGTAAATGGTTCAAATGAATCTTTTCTCAGTCAAACCAGACAATGTGCAATTGAAAACATCTGCAGCTGATAGCAAAGCATGTCGTGGTTATATTATCAGCATTAACTGCTCAGCTGATGCTCCTCCGTCTGAGATATCATATCAGCTGTTGGAGAATGGCTCCGTGGTATTAAGCAAATCAGGAATGTGGAGCAGGACATTATCAAGTGGAGGAGAGTTCATCTACAAATGTGTGGCCAATAACTCTTTAGGAGCAGCATATAGTGAAAGTGTCACTGTAACTGTTAATGGTAAGTACAAATTGCTATCTTGTTGTGTACCAAGCAGTTTACAGTTTAGGTACCTGTGCAGTGTATCACACTAATGGAATGAAGAGTAAACGTTTACCTTTTGTATTAATTTGCATGTACAGTACCTTCAGCCATACAGCTAATTCAAAATGAAACCGTAACAGAGGGAAGCAGTTTGACTCTGTCATGTAGTGCATCTGGAACTCCTCCACCAATGGTGTCTTGGATTAAAGTTGACAGTCATGTNATTCAAAATGAAACCGTAACAGAGGGAAGCAGTTTGACTCTGTCATGTAGTGCATCTGGAACTCCTCCACCAATGGTGTCTTGGATTAAAGTTGACAGTCATGTGCGTTTTAACAGAAGTGACCTGGTGCTCACAAATATTAACAGAAGTGATGCTGGAGAATACAGGTGTGAAGCCAGCAATGAGTGTGGCAATGCATCAGAGACGGCAACAATTGAAGTGCAGTGTGAGTATCAATTGACTGTTACTTCATGCATCGAATGTAATGAGTCATCAGAAGGCCGCTTTTAATTAACAAAGCTGGTTAGCAAATTTCTTGGTCATTCTATGATAAAAACAGGAATGTGAAGTGAACAAAGTCTGCATACAGTACTTTGAAAAATGGAAGCCACCATGGTATCTAGACATATTTAGGCTAAGCATTTTTTCGTAACCTGCTGGTTTCTCTGAATAAGGCCAGAGAATGGAAATAAAAAAAAAAAAAGGAAAAGAAAAGAGTGCCAAGTAAATATCAAATAATTATAGTTATAAATTAATAAATATTGAAAAAAAGAAAAAAGAAAAGAAAAAAAGGAAAAAAGGAAAAGAAAACAAGAAGCCTTTTATGCCCGTTAAAATAGTTTCTAGGTAAGAGTTGCTTCATGGGTCTTCGTGATTAGAAGTGTTGATTGTTTGATTGATTGATTGATTGATTGATTGATTGATTAACTGATTGATTGATTAGTAGCAGTTATGTAAAATTATACACGCGTCACAGTTGTATTAAGTCATATTAGTTTTTTTCTGCAACTGAGGATACATGTAGGAGTTTTAAGTGATAATTACACGTATATAGTACTTGTTTGCAGTCCCACCAGAGAATGTGCAGTTCGAGATATCTGCCGCTAACAATAAAGCATGTAAAGGTGAAACTATCAGCATTAACTGCTCAGCTGATGCTGTTCCATCTGAGATTTCATATCAGCTGTTGGAGAATGGCTCTGTGGTATCAGCAGACACATCAGGAATGTGGAGCAGGACATTATCAAGTGGAGGAGTGTTCATCTACAAATGTGTGGCCAATAACTCTTTACGAGCAACATATAGTGGAAGTGTTACTGTTACTGTTAATGGTAAGTAAAAATTGCTATCTTGTTGTGTACAAATGTGTCTACAGACGTGTGGCCAATAACTCTTTAGGATCAACAGAAAGGGAATATGTTAATGTTACTGTTAACGGTAAACAATCATTTCTTTAAACTACTGAATATTGTGGTGGATTTTTTTTAATATGCATGAGTCTAAACACTGCTTAAATTTATTTCCTACCAGCTATGTAAAGTAATGTACAGTACTGTACATGTATGTAAATACCCTCCGACCTAGGCATGCTCAGATTTTACCATTTGGCAATGAATAACATTTTTAATACTCATGAGGAGGTATCCCTGAAGCCTTCGTGGTTTTTCATAAAATTCAATACACTTTTCTCCCTTTTAAAGAACCGTTCATAACTTGGTGAGATTCAATAATCTTATATGTAATTACCCAGTGTTTTCATGAGGCATCTTTACAAAGGTTTTAAACTTTACTGAATTGAATGTTGCAATATTCTTAAGTAGGCCAACCAAAGTTTGACAATAATTGACCACCTTATTAAGTATGGTTTAGCTCATTAACCAACGAGAAATATGGAAAGCAGGTGATGCCGATACACCTTGGCTGCACATTTCCAGGTCTTCAGTAAGAAAGCGGGACATTTTTTAAACGATTCCTTCAATTGAACAGACAATAAGAGCAAATTTGACATTTACTTGTGAGCAAAGATAATTGTTGAAATTCAGGAATCTTTCTTTCATCGTCAAGTACAGTTGAGTGTTTTTTTGTTTTTGTTTTTGTTGTTGTTTTTTTTTTATCAGCACGGTAGCTCAAGAGTACTGTACTGCAAATACCATTTCGCCTTCAGTCGAGCCCGAAGTAGCTTAACAGCTCCGTAGCACATCTCTTAAGCAAGACATTTCTCTCGTAACAGCAGTTGCTCTTGTTAGTGAAACGAAAGGTGCGCTGGGAAATGCGAGAAATAAATTTCTTTCCTCCATTCATCTTCTAAGCTACATGATAAACAAGATAGCTTTTCGTCATGTAGCCCTCGCACGGGATTGAATAAACTGTGACATGATCTTTGGAAGTGATTATGAAGGAGCCATGACCTGCACTACTGCGCTTGTCAATCAGACGCAAACTCCGAAGTTCAGAATCGTCCTTACAAGTGTTTTTTTGTTTTTGTTTTTGTTTTTGTTTTTGCCGCCGTCAGTTTTAATTAATGGGTCAAATTCAATATATTAAGATACTAACATGGCATCAAGGCTTAGAGGACTAAAACAAAAGATACTGTTCATTCGTGCCTCAACATCAATGTCTTTTTTTCTAGTCCCCTAAGCCTCGGAAGCATGTTAAATATATGAAAATTGGCCTCTCATTGCGATATTTAACGAACCTTGAAATTAAACAGTTAAAACAGAGTTAAGTTATTTATCTTTATTTAGTTCTACTGGGTAGGGTTGTTCAAAATCCGGTTAATGCTAGCCCAGGAGGATTATAAATTCTGACGTTTTGTATAGCTTGAGATTATTCCAACTCTAAACTGAAGGGAAACAATATTAACAGAAATCTTCCCTGAAATGTTACAGAAATGAAGTCAAAATTCGTGCTAATATTGGTTAAGCTTAATCGGGCTTTGAAAAATCTAGCCCTGTATGTAAACATCTTCTTTAGTAGATGAAATTAAGACAAAAGTTGAATTAGCAAGTGGAGTAAGCGGTAACTAATAATTATTAGTATCACCCAACTGGTGGACTAATGCAAATCCTGCATTTTAATTGGCTANTCTTTTTTTTTTTCTAGTCCCCTAAACCTCGGAGGCATGTTAAATTTTAATATATGAAAATTGGCCTTTCATTGCGACATTTAACGAACCTTGAAATTAAACAATTAAAACAGAGTTAAGTTATTTATCGTTATTTAGTTCTACGGGGCAGGGTTGTTCAAAATCCGGCTAATGCTAGCCCAGGAGGATTATAAATTCTTACGTTTTCTGTAGCTTGAGATTATTCGAACTCTAAACTGAAGGGAAACAATATTAACAGAAAACTTCCCTGAAAAGTTAGAAAAATGAAATCAAAATTCTTGCTAATCCTGGTTAAGCTTAATCGGGCTTTGAAAAATCTAGCCCTGTATGTAAACATCTTTAGTAGATGAAATTAAGACAAAAGTTGAATTAGCAAGTGGAGTAAGCGGTAACTAATAATTATTAGATCTTGTATGTTTTCTCATGATGACACGGCATTGGTAATGCTTTACAATTGCCGAGCTCTTTCTAGTTCTAGCATAGGTTACTAGTGCAAGTTGTATCTCATAATGTTAGAAGAATATATCATTTTTTCATATAAATATGTTTATTCGCAGTGCCTTCTACGATACCTTCACTACAAGACGAGACAGTAACAGAAGGCGACAACGTGACTCTGTCATGTAATGCCTCTGGGACTCCTCCACCAATGGTGTCTTGGATCAAGGTTGGCAGTCATAT